AGAGGAGGGGAACTCGGAGAGAGAGAGAGAGAGGAAGAGAGGGGGGACTCGGGGAGAGAGAGAAGAGAGGAGGGGACTCGGAGAGAGGAGAGAAGAGAGGAGGGGGACTCGGGGAGAGAGAGAAGGATCGGAGGGAGAGAGAGAGAGAGAGAGGGACTCTGAGAGAGAGAGAGAAGAGAGGAGGGGGACGGAGAGAGAGAGAGAGAGGAGGGGACCGGGGGAGAGAGAAGAGAAGAGAGGGAGGGGAGAGACGGAGAGAAGAGAGGAGACGGGAGAGGAGGGGAAGAGAGAGAGAGAGAGAGGAGGGGACTCGGGGAGAGAGAGAAGAGAGGAGGGGACGGAGAGAGAGAGAGAAGAGGGGGGGGGCTCGGGGAGAGAGAGAGAAGAAGAGAGGAGGGGGAGAGAGAAGAGAGAGGGGAGAGAGAGGAAGAGAGGGAGGGAGAGGGGAGGGGAGCTCTGGGAGAGAGAGAGTAGAGGGGATCGAAGAGAGAGAGAAGAGGGGGACTGGGGAGGAGAGAGAGAGAGAGAGAGAGGGGACTGGGGAGAGAGAGGGAAGGAGGAGGGGAGAGAGGAGAGAGGAGGGGATCGGGGAGAGAGAGAAGAGAGGGGACTCGGGGAGAGAGAGAAGAGAGGAGGGGACTTGGAGAGAGAGAGAAGAGAGGGGGGGACTCGGGGAGGAGAGAGAGAGAGAGGGGGGGACCGGGGGAGGAGAGAGAAGAGGGGGGGACTCGGGGAGAGAGAGAGAGAGAGGAGGAGAGAGAGGAGAGAGGAGGGGACTCGGGAGAGAGAGAAGAGAGGAGGGGACTCGGGGAGAGAGAGAAGAGAGGGGGGGGGGACTCGGGGGGAGAGAGAGGAGAGAGGAGGGGACTCTGAGAGAGAGAGAGAGAGAAGAGAGGAGGGGACTCGGGAGAGAGAGAGAAGAGAGGAGGGGACTCGGGGAGAGGAGAGAAGAGAGGGGGACTCAGGGAGAGAGAGAGAAGAGAGGAGGGGACTCGGGGAGAGAGAGAGAAGAGGGGGGGTCTCGGGGAGAGAGAGAAGAGGGGGGGAGGGGAGAGAGAGAAGAGAGGAGGGGGAGAGAGAGAAGAGAGGAGGGGAGAGAGAGAAGAGAGGAGGGGAGAGACGGAGGGGACTTGGGGAGAGGGAGAGAGAGAGAAGAGGGGGGACTCGGAGAGAGAGAGAAGAGAGGAGGGGACTCGGAGAGAGAGAGAAGAGACTCGGGGAGAGAGAGAGAAGAGGGGGGGGGAATCGGGGAGAGAGAGAGAAGAGAGGGGACTCGGGGAGAGCGGGGGAGAGAGAGAAGAGAGGGGGGGATCGGGGAGAGAAGAGGAGAGAGAGAGAGAGAGGGGAGAGGACTCGGAGAGAGAGGAGGAAGAGAGGAGGGGACTCTGGGAGAGAGAGAGAAGAGAGGAGGGGAGAGAGAGAAGAGAGAGGGCGGGAGAGAAGAGAGGAGGGGAGAGAGGAGGGATCGGAGAGGATGAGAGAGAGAGAGAAGGGAGAGAGATAAGAGGGGAAGAGAGAGAAGAGAGAAGAGACTGGAAGAGAGAGAGAGAGAGAAGAGGGGGGGGACTCGGAGGGGAGAGAGAGAGAGAAGAGGGGGGATCAGAGAGAGGAAGAGAGGAGGGGACTAGGGAGAGAGAGAAGAGAGGAGGTGAGGTGAGAGAGAGAAGAGAGGAGGGGAGAGAGGAGGGGACTCAGAGAGAGAGAGAGAAGAGAGGAGGGGACTCGGGGGGGAGAGAGGAGAGAGAGAGGAGGGGACTCGGGGAGAGAGAGAGGACGAAGAGAGAGGAGGGGACTCGGAGAGAGAGAGAGAGAAGAGAGGAGGGGACTCGGAGAGAGAGAGAGAAGAGAGGAGGGGACTCGGGGAGAGAGAGAGAGAAGAGAGGAGGGGACTCGGAGAGAGAGAGAGAAGAGAGGGGGGGACTCGGGGAGAGAGAGAGAAGAGAGGAGGGGGACTCGGGGAGAGAGAGAGAGAAGAGAGGGGAGAGGACTCGGAGAGAGAGAGAAGAGAGGGAGGGGACTCGGGGAGAGAGAGAGAAGAGAGGAGGGGAGAGAGAGAAGAGAGGCGGGAGAGAAGAGAGGAGGGGAGAGAGGAGGGACTCGGAGAGAGAGAGAAGGGGAGAGAGATAAGAGGGGAAGAGAGAGAAGAGAGAAGAGACTGCGAGAGAGAGAGAAGAGGGGGGGACTCGGAGAGAGAGAGAGAAGAGGGGGGACTCAGAGAGAGAGAAGAGAGGAGGGGACTCAGGGAGAGAGAGAAGAGAGGAGGTGAGAGAGAGAAGAGAGGAGGGGAGAGAGGAGGGGACTCAGAGAGAGAGAGAGAAGAGAGGAGGGGACTCGGGGAGAGAGAGAGAAGAGAGGGGGACTCGGGGAGAGAGAGAGAGAAGAGAGGAGGGGAGAGAGAAGAGAGGGGAGAGAGAGAAGAGAGAGGGGAGAGAGAGAAAGATGGGGAGGAAGTGATGAGAAGAGAAGCATACAGGTGTCTATGCTGCCTTTTCCCACTTGTCCTTCGATCACCTTGGGTTTAAAAAGACCCAAATTTCTCTATCAGACTACACACAGAAACACAAACAATGACTTACAATCTATATAGCGGTCATGTTTTCCTGACATTATAAACACCCACAATGACTGGACACTGGACTATCATATATTCTGCTAGTTTGTCTGTTGCTGTATGATTCTGTTCACTCTTCTCATCAAGCGCTTGGAGAGGCACTGCCATGTTGTGCAGTTCTGTTGAGGCCTCACCAACAGCTGCCATGTTGTGTAGTTCTGTTGAGGCCTCACCAACAGCTGCCATGTTGTGTAGTTCTGTTGAGGCCTCACCAACAGCTGCCATGTTGTGTAGTTCTGTTGAGGCCTCACCAACAGCTGCCATGTTGTGTAGTTCTGTTGAGGCCTCACCAACAGCTGCCATGTTGTGTAGTTCTGTTGAGGCCTGGCCAACAACTGCCATGTTGTGTAGTTCTGTTGAGGCCTGGCCAACAACTGCCATGTTGTGTAGTTCTGTTGAGGCCTGGCCAACAACTGCCATGTTGTGTAGTTCTGTTGAGGCCTGGCCAACAACTGCCATGTTGTGTAGTTCGGGGAAGGCCTGGCCAACAGCTGTCATGTTGTGCAGTTCGGTTGAGGCCTCACCAACAGCTGTCATGCTGAGTAGTTTGGTTGAGGCCTCACCAACAGCTGTCATGTTGTGCAGTTTGGTTGAGGCCTCACCAACAGCTGTTTCATCTCTTCCTCTGCAAGTTTCCATTCTCTCCTTGCTACGGTCATTCTCTCCAAGGGTCAAGCCTAGATAGATTAGTTCGTCAAATTGACGCCACAAAGCAGATATTTTTCTAGCTTTTAAGCTAACCCTAACCCTTCTCCCAACCTTAAGCTAACTATCATAACCTGTTACGTTAATTCTCCTAACCTACTACGAAAAGTCAATTCTGACATAAGCTGTTTACTACAGTATCTAGTCAAAACCCTGTTGAAGACAAGGGTTAGGGGCAGCTTGCAAGGCTGAGGTCTTCAGAATAATCAGCAACCAAAGCACAATGTTTGTGTCACCTTTAGATAAGGGTCACAGTAATAACCTAGCTAGGAAATGAAATACATTTAACTGCCCAATATTGTTAATCTCTATAGAAACCATGTCTTGCCATTCCTCCCTGTGGTGCGGAGGATTAAAAGGACTGCTGAATTCCACTGCTGTAGATCTAAGCGGATTGGTTATTTCCACCTAACCAATCAGAAGGTAGGAGGAAGCAATCACCATAATGTTAATATCTATTCAATCCTCTCAGATCTACAGCAAACAGTGGGACGTCATTTCCTTCATGATACCTTCATCCTCCTTTGACAGCAAGGTCACTTGGGCTTCAAAAAACATCAGTTCTCTTTCACTAAATCCTAGCAAGCTAAATATATATAAGAACTGGGGTGTGTTCAGTTTGTCTTTTTGTTTTGTTGTTGCTACATTTCACAACAGTACGTCCCAAACACCACATTTTCCCAAAAATGGTGCACATACCACAAGCTTGGAGGTATGTTTGCTCCCGCGTGTCGGGGTGTGAGGTGTTCAGAACAGCACCAGTTACGTTCAAATCAACAGTTGCTACGTTTCCTTCAACCTGAATGCACCCCAGGAGTCTGTTTTGTCATTTGCATTGATTGACTATATATAGACTCCACAAAACCAACTATAAAGTAGAGAACCTACAAGCAGATCAACTACAGTATAACGCATAGGGAAGAGATGGTTTGAAGGAACATTTGGTAGAAAAACACTCAGAAATGAATCAATCATGTATGCCAATCAGATTTGTTTTCCTTTTTTTAATCCAAAAAGTTTAAATAACATTTATGGGGAGAAATGTTTAATAAAATAAAAAGCATGCAAAACACATGTGGATAACTCAAATTGAGGCTCTAAACTAATTTAAATTTAGTAGAAAAGTTACTTGGGAGTTAGTCCCAAATCCTCAATCTGCCTTGGCTGATTTGAATGACAACCAATGTCCAATAATAAAACGAATCAACTTTGTAATAGTGATCTATTCGGCGTAACACAACCTGTTTTGCAGAGGAAATAATCTCGTTTTTCTACTACCAAAAAATTCAGAATACATTGAAAACCAATGCAATTGTCTTATTTTAACAAGGTGTTACACAAACAAAAAGGGCATGGTAGTGAGACTTCAATACAAGTTTGATAAAAATTCAGATGAAAACATTATCGATTCATACAAAGTAGCGTAGAGAGTAGGCCAATCCAAATCCAAGCTAAAAAAAAAAAAAAAAGATGAAATTTAAAAATTGAAAGAAAGCGTTCGTCACCAGTTTATAAAACAATTTTTTTCCCAGACAAAAATATCAATCAGGTACAACTTGGCAGTCTCTGGTTCCACAAAAATACTCAGAATAAAATAAAAAAACTAAACAAAAACCATGAGGATCTACTTGAACAATCGCGTCACCGGGGAAGAGTGTAGGATAGAAATGTCAGGTAGAAAAGTTCAAAGCCCAGTCTCCTTGAAGTGGATTTCCTCTAAGAGGGAGGGGAAAAAACTACAGGAAACAACCAAAAAACTACAGAGGAAAAAGAACAAGTGGGGACAGGTTGAGGAGCGGTGGTCATGGAGACCCCCTTGGTTACGGCAGGGATCCTGATGTGCTGCAGTTCAGTGTGTGTAGTGTGTGCATGTGTGTGGGATGATGGACTCAGTAGATTCGGCCTCGGCTCCTGCCTCCCCTCCCTCCGAATCCTCGTCCTCGGCCGCCCCTGAAGCCTCCGCGCTGCTCTGGAATCACAACACGGGGACAACAGACAGGGGATCAGTATGGAGGCTCATCATAAGGGCCAGGAGTTTTTCCCGACCGTGTAAGACCTGGCCGGGAAAAACTCTGGGCCCTCTGAGTTATTTAGCGTGTTTGAGGGGATCCAACAGCCTATAAAAAATGAAAAACTAACCGGCTAACATGGTCAGGGGAAAAACTCCTGGTCCTACTCATTGTGTGTTAGAGCTCAAAAGGATAGTAATATTTAGATTGCCATTCCATCCCATTCAGTAGAAGATTTCTCAACTGCTCACATGAAACAGAGGGCTCAGCTTGAAAACAATGCCTCATTTGGGTTAACTATCCTATTAACAAGTTAACAACATTTTAGCATCAAATCGTCAGCATGTGCACCTCGGTCACCCAACACCACCAGAAAGGGTGTACATGGCACAATACAAGGAGGAAGTGAACAATATCCAACACACACGTCGGAGAGGATCAGTTGGCCCCAAACATACTGACACTTCAGTCAGTAGATCATCTTGACCCAGAGTTACACCAAGTGCATTCGACTTTATGTAGGAGACACAAAACGTGAGAGAACATATGAGAAAACCCAGATACTACGTCTGCGCAACATTCTGCTACTGTTTAACATGCCACCCGGTGCCCCTAAAATCCAACTATGGCTCAGTGTGCAACGTTCTGCTACTGTTTAACATGCCACCCCAGTATCACCCTCACCGTTGGAGAAGTTGCCGATGGTGGCGCTGTACTTGCCGCTGGGGGGGTTGTAGATCTGCCGTGCGTCCCTCCGGGGCAGTGGGGGGGACAGCTGCTTCTTCATGGTACTGCCTGCACCCATATCCTCCCCGGACGGGCGCTTCAGACTGTGGTGGGCAAAGAGGGAAAAGGTCACATAGAGACGAGGACACATGGGGTCATAACGCTAACACTAATGGTGTGTTATCTGAAGATTTGCTTGTGTTTGTACTGAGAAGTTGCTAGTGTCCTTGTATAACGTACTACGAATTCATTAATCGATCATTGCATTGATGTGGGCAGGTCAGTTGAGAGGAGATGGAAACCCATAAATTAACATTACACTCCAAAATCAACATTTGTCAGATGTTTTCCCACACCATAAGTGGCGTAGATTCAGCAAATCTGGACACTACATGGTACGTATCTTTTCAGTTCATTTTAGAAAACAGATGGCCTGGGATTGAACTCATCTTGACATTAAGACTACTTTTGAGGTATGAAAACATCTGACCCATTTAGATTTTACAGTGTAATGTATCTTTAAGAGTGTTAAGAACATCTCGCCCAGAAACACGATATTCTGGGTCACCAGATTCCCCGTGACTTACACCATAGCCTCAGCCTTCTGGACGGGCTTCCAGGACAGCGTGACCGTGCTCTTGTACGACGGTGGGTTGTGGAAGAGATCCTGCAGAGAAAAGGAACAGTAATGAGAACGTTCGCTAGTGTTGGTTGACCAAGTGTGTTTCAGGGTTGACCAAGTATTTCGAACACCTCACCTTGATCAGAACGTTGATGTTGTTGGTGATCTTCAGAGCCACCACTTTAATCTTGTTCTGAGATGGATGGGAAGACAATACAACCAATCAGGGAATACTGACAATACAACCAATCAGGGAATACTGACAATAGAACAGAAGGAATACGTGATTGGAAATGTATATAGCTCCTGATTGATTCAGCACAACTGTGAGGCTTGTGAGACACCGTCAACAAGAATCAAAAAAAGCAATGCATCATTGGAGACCAAAACAGCCAATAGCCAACAGCCATGATAAATAGCTACCTCTTCTGTCTTCAGTGCGTCTCCCGTCTTGCCTTGCAGGGCCACTCGCAGTTGGCGAATGTATACCTGCAGCCCTCTGGCGAAGTACTGTAATCTAGAGGCAGGAGAGAAAAAACAAAACTAGGGTTATACACCTTTCAAACCAAGACGTTTTCCTCCCACCTTCAGCATCTTTCTGACTACTTTTCTCGATATATGAAAAGGTCTTGTCTGCTATAAAGCCTCTACTTTAATTTCTGCCAACCGACCTAGTCATGATTGCGGTAAAGTTCTGCCTAGGGCTCAGTATGAACGGTAGAGTTCTGCCTAGGGCTCAGTATGAACGGTAGAGTTCTGCCTAGGGCTCAGTATGAACGGTAGAGTTCTGCCTAGGGCTCAGTATGAACGTAGAGTTTGCTAGGGTCAGTATGAACGTGAGTTCTGCTAGGGCTCAGTATGAACGGTAGATTGCTGTCAGTATGACGGTAGAGTTCTGCCTAGGGCTCAGTATGAACGGTTTTAAGTTTGCCTAGGGCTCAGATGAACGTAGATTTCTAGTTGAGTAGAGTTCTGCCTAGGGCTCAGTATGAACGGTAGAGTTCTGCCTAGGGCTCAGTATGAACGGTAGAGTTCTGCCTAGGGCTCAGTATGAACGGTAGGAGTTCTGCCTAGGGCTCGTATACGGGAGGTTTCTGGCCTAGGGCTCAGTATGAACGGATTAGTAGTTCTGCCCTAGGGCTCAGGTATGACGGTTAGAGTGTTCCTGCATAGTAGGGCCTCAGTATGAACGGTAAAGGTTTCTGCCTAGGGCGCCAGTATTGTCGGTAGAGTTTCTGCCCCTAGGGCTCAGTATTGAACGGTTAAAAAGTTCTGCCTAGGGCCTCAGTATTGCGGTAAAGTTCTGCCTAGGGCTCAGTATGAACGGTAGAGTTCTGCCTAGGGCTCAGTATGAACGGTAGAGTTCTGCCTAGGGCTCAGTATGAACGGTAGAGTTCTGCCTAGGGCTCAGTATGAACGGTAGCCGTAACGCTGAGCACTACGCTCTTAAGCTCCTGATCGTTGCTAGGCAGCGTTACTACTATCATCCTGGCAGTCCTAACTTCGCGAGGCATGTCACTTCCCCCAGCTCTTCGCATAGCCCACCACGTGCACTGTTTTCCTAACCACAACTGGATGGATCCATAAAGAATGACTGTTGGTATAAATATCACAGAATGACTAAAACCTTGGAATAAAGTAGACTAATGCAATTAAAGGCATCAAATTGTTGCTTACTGAAACTCCTAAAGTCATTCAATTGTTAGAATACATCTGATTGAAGCAATAGGCCTACGCCCGTGGTCAACTATTTCAGCACCGTTTATCGCTGCTTTGAGACAAGAGTGGTCTTGATGGAATCAAATCATCAGATTTGTATTTTCACTGAATCGCCGTTTGGATATTGTTTAGGCTACAATTAGGCTGTGGAAATGTTAGCTAAGTTGAGCTGAGTACTGCTCATGATAATGTCTAGTTGGATCATTTATTAGCACCGATCAGAACATTTTGCCAGGATGTTATGTAGTTTAACAAGTGGATTATTTATTAGCACCGATCAGAACATGTTGCCAGGATGTTATGTAGTTTAACAAGTGGATTATTTATTAGCACCGATCAGAACATGTTGCCAGGATCAGAACATTTTGCCAGGATGTATGTAGTTAACAAGTGGATCTTTATTAGCACCGATCAGAACATGTTTTCCAGGATGTTATGTAGTTTAACAAGTGGATCATTTATTAGCACCGATCAGAACATGTTGCCAGGATGTTATGTAGTTAACAAGTGGATATTTATTAGCACCGATCAGAACATGTTGCCAGGATGTTATGTAGTTTAACAAGTGGATTATTTATTAGCACCGATCAGAACATGTTGCCAGGATGTTATGTAGTTTAACAAGTGGATTATTTATTAGCACCGATCAGAACATGTTGCCAGGATGTTATGTAGTTTAACAAGTGGATTATTTATTAGCACCGATCAGAACATGTTGCCAGGATGTTATGTAGTTTAACAAGTGGATTATTTATTAGCACCGATCAGAACATGTTGCCAGGATGTTATGTAGTTTAACAAGTGGATTATTTATTAGCACCGATCAGAACATGTTGCCAGGATGTTATGTAGTTTAACAAGTGGATTATTTATTAGCACCGATCAGAACATGTTGCCAGGATGTTATGTAGTTTAACAAGTGGATTATTTATTAGCACCGATCAGAACATGTTGCCAGGATGTTATGTAGTTTAACAAGTGGATCATTTATTAGCACCGATCAGAACATGTTGCCAGGATGTTATGTAGTTTAACAAGTGGATCATTTATTAGCACCGATCAGAACATGTTGCCAGGATGTTATGTAGTTTAACAAGTGGATCATTTATTAGCACCGATCAGAACATGTTGCCAGGATGTATGTAGTTTAACAAGTGGATTATTTATTAGCACCGATCAGAACATGTTCCCAGGATGTTATGTAGTTTAACAAGTGGATTATTTATTAGCACCGATCAGAACATGTTGCCAGGATGTTATGTAGTTTAACAAGTGGATTATTTATTAGCACCGATCAGAACATGTTGCCAGGATGTTATGTAGTTTAACAAGTGGATTATTTATTAGCACCGATCAGAACATGTTGCCAGGATGTTATGTAGTTTAACAAGTGGATTATTTATTAGCACCGATCAGAACATGTTGCCAGGATGTTATGTAGTTTAACAAGTGGATCATTTTGCTCACAGTCTTCTTAGTAGCCTGGGCCTACTGCCGACCAGAAGCCTGTGACTTGTCTTAATCAATGTGATTGTGTTTCACTGAATCTCCGTCTGTATATTTGGTTCATTCTAAATAAAGTGGAGGTGGTGTAGCTCATCTGTCACTGGTCAGAAACATTTAGCACGCTATAACGTAGCCTAAATCAAGTGTAGACCTATTATTTTGCTCGATCGCGTGTAGGCAACTCCAAAAGCTGTGTGAAATATGAACACGAGATTCAAATGCTTTTGAAACTATTAGATTGCTATTATTTTCTAAGGGTATGATGAGGATACTCTCAATGTAAGACCCTACACCCCTGTTTCCTAACAAGGCAGAGACAGGGTAGGAAAGAGATGAAACGTGGATTTAAGAAAGTATGGACTTGCCTTGGGCTCTTTTTTTTCTTTTTTTATATGACAGCAGTTCCACACGTTGCCATGATAGAAGTTGTGGGAAAAATATAGTTTGTAATTTATTCTTTTATATTTCATTATATTCTTAGTCTACTATAAAATACAGTGAGCTCCAAAAGAATTGGGACATTGACACATTTGTTGTTTTGTCTCTGTACTCCAGCTCTTTGAAATGATACAATGACTGAGGTTAAAGTGCAGACTGTCAGCTTTAATTTGAGGGTATTTTCATCCATATCAGGTGAACCGTTTAGAAATTACAACACTTTATGTAGATATAGTCCCCCCATTTTAAGGGACCAAAAGTATTGGGACAAATTCACATATGTGTATTAAAAGTAGTCAAAAGTTTAGTATTTGGTGTCATATTCTGTATTCTGATTGGAGGTTAACTTTACAGTAATGCTATTGGTCAACAACTCAGATTTTGAATCCAAACAACTCAGATGCTTAGAATAATGCCTTGTAATGCTTGTTAAAGCTTTGGAACTTAAGTTGATGCCTTGTATATGAATCCATTCATTTTAAACGTAATTAAATACACTTGTATTTAGAATTCCATTTTCAGACATTTGTTCATTGCCTACTACTGTAAGTCAACCATAGTCTCCTTGCACAATCCTGTTTATCCTATGGAGTTAAAGACAATTCATTCATGTGGTCCTCTGTAGCTCAGCTGGTAGAGCACGGCGCTTGTAACGCCAGGGTAGTGGGTTCGATCCCCGGGACCACCCATACACAAAAATGTATGCACGCATGACTGTAAGTCTCTTTAGATAAAAGCGTCTGCTAAGTGGCATATTATTATAATAATGTGCTAATTGGAATACTTTTTAATACTCTTTAAGGAATACCTGGGATAGTATAAAAGTAATCCTTCTACCCCCCACATTTAAAAAAAATATATATATAACCAATTTAAAATATACTCTAAAAATAAATTTTTAAAAATTTATAAATAAATAAAAATTGTAAAGTGGTTGTCCCACTGGCTATCATAAGGTGAATGCACCAATTTGTAAGTCGCTCTGTATAAGAGCGTCTGCTAAATGACGTAAATGTAATGTAAATGTAATTACTTAGTCTTATTATGAGTCGATTGGAATGTTTATATAAATATACACATATCAAACATTACTGCCCACTACAACCTCAGTCATTGTATCATTTCAAATCCAAAGAGCTGGAGTAGAGACAAATAACTAAATGTGTCACTGTCCCAATACTTTGAGCTCACTGTAGGTGTGTGTCGACTGTGATCAGGGTTGCCCAAGTATGCCTCGTCTGTTTTTATTAACAAAACAACTACTGATTTCATGTGCATGGCGCAGCCATATAGGCTGCAATAACCAGTACCATAATAAACTCTAAATATGCCATTCTATTCTTTCGAAAATACATTTGAATAGTCTTATGTTTCTTAGGACCTGCCGAAAACGATCTAATAATGGATTACTTTGTGATGGTGTATATTCAACGGATTTATTAAAATAGACGTCCACCCACATCGGCCCACGTCTACTCCCACACTTGCCGGCATGTTCACAGGAGATATAAAAGGCTTATCCAGGCAAGAGTGTGGTCAAAATAGGACTATGAACTGGGCCAGATAAAAATTACAGGCAACATGCAGTAAAGTCTGTCAGTAAAGGTTTTTACTGTGACTGAACAGAGAAAAAAAAACTAAGACTAACATTACTGGCATCCACACGCTACAGTAGAGACTGATACAAATGAAACAGAAGCATTGTCAAAACGTATGAACGCAAATGAAAATGGTGGCAAAAACACAAAGACCAAAATAAATGATATGCCAAACGTTCCCACAACACACCAAGACTTAACAAAAAGACACACGAACGTTGCCAAAACCTTACGGGGCAATCCTCCTCTACCTGATCTTGAAGTCTTTGAGGCGCTCGGCATTGATCTTGTCGATGAGGAAGTCAGGCAGCTTCTTGCCCAGTTGGTGGAAGCTGAAGAGGAGACACTCCACGTAGCTGAACTGCAGCTTGGGCTCGTCGCTCAGTGTGTTCTCGCCGTTCTCACCCTCCGCCTCTGGAGGCAGCGGCATGAACTCCTAGACACAGGGAGGAAGGGTGGACCAGTTAGCCTTTTACCAGTCTGGACCAGTTAAGGGCAAAACACACCATAACCAACATCGGCATCATACTTCGGCACTGTCTGTTTTGTTCACTGGCCTTTTACCAGTCTGATAAACCAGACCGTTATGTGAGCTGGTCCAAAATCAACACCTAGATATAGAGATACGCAGTATGGTGAAATCACACCTAACCCCATTAGAAGGTACCAGAGAGATACCAGTATGGTGAAATCACACCTAACCCCATTAGAAGGTACCAGAGAGATACCAGTATGGTGAAATCACACCTAACCCCATTAGAAGGTACCAGAGAGATACCAGTATGGTGAAATCACACCTAACCCCATTAGAAGGTACCAGAGAGATACCAGTATGGTGAAATCACACCTAACCCCATTAGAAGGTACCAGAGAGATACCAGTATGGTTGAAATCACACCTAACCCCATTAGAAGGTACCAGAGAGATACCAGTATGGTGAAATTACACCTAACCCCATTAGAAGGTACCAGAGAGATACCAGTATGGTGGAAATCACACCTAACCCCATTAGAAGGTACCAGAGAGATACCAGTATGGTGAAATCACACCTACACCCATTAGAAGGTACCAGCAGAGATACCAGTATGGTGAAATCACACCTAACCCCATTAGAAGGTACCAGAGAGATACCAGTATGGTGAAATCACACCTAACCCCATTAGAAGGTACCAGAGAGATACCAGTATGGTGAAATCACACCTAACCCCATTAGAAGGTACCAGAGAGATACCAGTATGGTGAAATTACACCTAACCCCATTAGAAGGTACCAGAGAGATACCAGTATGGTGAAATCACACCTAACCCCATTAGAAGGTACCAGAGAGATACCAGTATGGTGAAATCACACCTAACCCCATTAGAAGGCTGAGCTAGGAAGTTACTTACCAGCAGCTTCTCAAACAGCATGGTGAGGTTGGCCTCCACCTTCTCCATGTCCCCACAGAACGGACTCATCTCAGCAAGCAGCTTCAGCACCTACACACACACACACACAAGTCAAAGCTATTGTCCCCGGCATGTTGGAGCCAACATGGAGGACTTGTTGCCTGAACTCTGTATGGTTGGTACAGAGGAGGATGGTAACTGACCTCCAGCTGAATGTCCAGCTCTGCCACAGGACTGGTCAGGGAGCTGAGGTTGGGCAGGACGTGGTCACAGAAGTAGGTGACGAAACGGGTGGAATGGACATTTTTCTGTAAGGGTAAAAAAAATGAATTTCAAGCTCAAGAAGTTCAAGTTTATCTCAGAGGAACATTTGTTATAGGGGGGGGGGGGGGGGGGGGGGGGGGGGGGGGGGTTGTCAACTTGAAGCAGTTGGTGAAATCAGGTCAGAAGCTTGAGCAACAAACATGCATAGGTAGAAAAGTAACAATGAGAAGTAACAGCACAAACAGATCATTAGCAATTTGCAAACAATGACAGTATGTGTGAGGTGACAGTGAGCACGGTGTTTGGTGATTCTGTGTGTATTTTGAGTGCTGGTGAGATCGCAGTTGCCTCAATTGGTAAGAGTGTGGTGCTGGCAAAGCCAAGGTCGCGGGTTCCACAAGGGACACACTAAACTGGTATGAACTCACTGTTCCCTGAATCAATAAGTTAAGTATATTATTATTATGGCCTGTATGTGTGTTATAATCTGTGTGTGTGTGTTATAATGTGTGTGTGTGTTATGTGGTGTTGTGTGTATCACTCACAGAGAAGAGGGGCAGGGCCTGGCGTGTGCACTGCAGCAGGCGGTCCACTGTGTCGGGGTCAGCGGGGTTCAGGGCCTGCTCCAGGAAAGCCTGCTCCACAACCAGCTCCACCAGCTGCTGCCGCCCGCTCACCGTCTGCAGGCCCTTCAGCACCATCAGGATGCGCATCAGCAGCACAAACTCCTCCCCGGTCACATCCTCCAGCACCTGGGGTTGGAAGACGTGGGACAGAGGTCAACGTGGGACAGAGGTCAACAAGAAACTGTCATTTTCGCTTTCAATACATTTTGCTACGACGTGCCCTAATGAAAACGACCCAGGAGTCACCGTGAGGCCGACCAGTTACAAATATATCCAATATCCAACTAAGTGACAGATCCCACCTATGGAGCTCTTGTATTCAGTTTGTCAATTAAATAACATTAATAAAAACTCATTCTAATCCATCCGAGCCTTTTCACAAAGAGCTCTACTAACCAGCCCCAAGCAGGAGGTGCATCACTACAGGTTCTTCACTGTGATCGTTGCTCTACCAAAGCAGAGTGGAACAAACCTTCTTTGTCTCTGTGAAGATGTAGTCCTCCACGTCCTTGGTCATGGTGTCCTTCAGGCATCGTCTTCAGCTTGATGGAGAGGAACTTGACGGCCCTCTCCCTTACTATGTCCTCCCCCTGCAGGATCTGAGAGAAGAGGCCTCCCAGGGTAGCTGAGACAGAACAGAGAAATACAGGTTGGTTACACTGAAATACACTGTTCTAGTACCCTTTCTTGCCTCGATTCCCCCCCCCCTGCCTGTTCACTAGTGAAGTTGTCTGTAATTTCACAATTTAAAACCTATTCATACACGAGAGATCAAAAAGGGACACTTACCCTTTGCGTCCATCTTGAAGATGGAGACCAGCGCTGTGTTCACTTGGTTGAATTCGGCCGAATCGTCTGTAAGCACCAACGTATAGAAGAGTATAAAAAATTGGTCCAACAGCATCACAGATGGTACATATCTCCTTCTGGCACCGACCCAAACTACACCATGACATACATATTGTCCACTCCCAGGAGAGTCAACACTTTCCCTCAACATGGCATGTACTGCATAGGTTTGTCATAAGGTATAAGGCAGAAACTCAAACAGGAAATACCCGTGCTAAGGACTATTCAACGCTGGTCTGGCCAATCGGAATCCACGCTTCAAGATTGTTTTGATCATGCGGACTGGGATATGTTCCGAAGATAATTTAGACGAATACACTGAAACGATGACTGAGTTTATCAGGAAGTGTATAGGTGATGTTGTGCCCACTGTGACTATTAAAACCTACCCTAACAGGAAACCGTGGATAGATGACAGCATTCACGCCAATCTGAAAGCGCAAACCACTGCATTCAACCATGTCAAGGTGACTGGGAATATGGCAGAATACAAACAGTGTAGCAAATCACTCCGCAAGGAAATTAAACTGGCAAAACATCAGTAGAGACAAAGTGGAGTCGCAATTCAACGGCTCAGACACGAGACGTATGTGGCAGGGTCTACAGGCAATCACGGACTACAAAAGGAAAACCAGCCACGTCGTCAACACCGACGTCTCGCTTCCAGACAAGCTAAACACCTTCTTCGCCCGCTTTGAGGATAACACAGTGCCACTGACAAGGCCCACTACCAAGGACTGTGGCCTCTCCTTCTCTGTGGCAGATGTGATTAAGACATTTAAGCATGTTAACCCCTGCAAGGCTGCCTGCCCAAACGGCATCCCTAGCCGCGTCCTCAGAGCATGCGCAGACCAGCTGGCTGGTGTGTTTATGGACTTATTCAATCTCTCCCTTTCCCAGTCTGCTGTTCCCACATGCTTCAAGAGGGCCACCATTGTTCCTGTACCCAAGAAAGCAAAGGTAACTGAACTAAATGACTATCGCCCTGTAGCGCTCACCTCTGTCATCATGAAGTGATTTGTCAAGGATCATATCACCTCTACCTTACCTGTCACCCTAGACCCACTTCAATTTGCTTACCGCCCCAATAGATCCACAGACGATGCAATTGCCATCACACTGCCCTATCCCATCTGGACAAGAGGAATACCTATGTAAGAATGCTGTTCATTGACGTTAGCTCAGCATTCAACACCATAGTACCCTCCAAGCTCATCATCAAGTTCGAGGCCCTGGGTCTGAACCCCGCCCTGTGCAACTGGGTCCTGGACTTCCTGACGGGCCGCCCCCAGGTGGTGAAGGTAGGAAACAACATCTGCACTTCACTGATCCTCAACACTGGGGCCCCACAAGGGTGCGTGCTCAGCCCCCTCCTGTACTCCCTTGTTCACCCATGACTGCGTGGCCAAGCACGCCTCCAACTCAATCATCAAGTTTGCAGACGACAACAGTAGTAGGCTTGATTACCAACAATGACGAGACCGCCTACAGGGAGGAGGTGAGGGCTCTGGGAGTATGGTGCCAGGAAAATAACCTCTCACTCAACGTCAACAAAACAAAGGAGATGATCGTGGACTTCAGGAAACAGCAGAGGGAGCACCCCCCTATCCTCATCGATGGGACCGCAGTGGAGAAGGTGAAAAAGCTTCAAGTTCCTTGGCGTACACATCACCGACAAACTGAAATGGTCCACCCACGCAGACAGTGTGGTGAAGAAGGCGCAACAGAGTCTCTTCAACCTCAGGAGGCTGAAGAAATTCGTCTTGGCACCTAAAACCCTCACAAACTTTTACAGATGCAAAATTGAGAGCATCCTGTCGGGCTGTATCACCACCTGGTACGGCAACTGCACAGCCCGCAACCGCAGGGCTCTCCAGAGGGCGTTGCGGTCTAACGAACGCATTATCGGGGGCAAACTACCTGCCCTCGAAGACACATACAGCACCCGATGTCACAGGAAGGCCAAACAGATCATCAAGGACATCAACCACCCGAGCCACTGCCTGTTCACCCCGCTATCATCCAGAAGGCGAGGTCAGTACAGGTGCATCAAAGCTGGGACTGAGAGAATGAAAAACAGCTTTTATCTCAAGGCCATCAGACTGTTAAATAGCCATCACTAGCACATTAGAGGCTGCTGTTGCCTATTGAAATCACTGGCCACTTTAAGAAATGGAACACTAGTCACTTTAATAATGTTTACAGTCACTTTAATAATGTTTACATATCTTGCACTACTCATCTCATATGTATATACTGCATTCTATTCTATAATATTCTACTGTATCTTAGTCCATGCCGCTCTGTCATTGCTTGTCCATATATGTATATTTTCTTAAATTCTATTCCTTATTAGTTGTGTGTATTTGGTATATGTTGTGAAATTGTTAGATATTACTGCACCGTCGGAGCTAGAAGCACAAGCATTTCGCTACACCTTCTAAACACGTTAATGTGACAAATAAAATTTGATTTTCACGGTATACTGGTACAACTGTAATATTACAGTACCAAATCGTCAAAATACCAACATTTTAGTATAACGTAGTACCGTTTCATATATTACCTAATTTTTCAGTCCCGCTTGCTATAAAATGTTTATAAATTCAGTTGAATTTAAGCAACAGCCACTAGTACGCGCTGGTCCAATAATTTAAAAAAATACTTCACTTTCATGAGCGGCAGCTCACCTGCTTCTCCCCGTCTGCATCTATTCCTCTGTCAGTTTTTTTAAATATAATTTAACCGTGATGGTGAGTGGGGATGCAGTCCCTGATGAGTCTTCTGTTCAAGATACCTTTTCTCTTTCTATGGGGTTCGCATGCATTTTATATAATTTCACAAACCATGTCGCGGGCCAATTTTAAACTAATCCCGGGTCACCAATTATTGGTTTGATAACAAACAACGTAGTTCAGTTACCTAGCTAGCTAACAACCTGGTAACTGGACAGTAGGTCTAAGCCAATCTGATTGGCCAAGGAAGAAAGAAAAAGGTTCTGCTATTCATGAGATGTGCTTCAAAAGGTAGGAGTCATACAGGACTAATGGAAGACTAAACTAGATCAAACATCTCTCCTTCTGTAGCACCTTATATTCTGTTTGGTGCCTAACGTTTTAAAAGTTGGGAGCAGTGTGTGTGTGGGAGAGAGAGAGAGTGGTGTGTGGTGTGGGTGTGGAGAGAGAGTGGGTGGTGGTGTGTGTGAGAGAGGGAGTGGTGGGTGGTGTGGTGGTGAGAAAGAGAGTGGTTGGTGGGTTGTGGTTTGTGAGAGAGAGTGTTTTGTGGTGTGTAGTGGTGAGATGAGAGTGGTGTTGTGTGTTGTGAGAGAGGTGGTGTGTGGTGTGTGAGTGAGATAGTGGTGTGTGTGAGAGAGAGTGGGGTGGTGTGTGTGGTTGGAGAGATGTAGAGGTGGTGTTGTGTGTGTGAGAGGAGTGAGTGGGTGGTGGTGGTGTGTGTGTGAGAGAGAGGGTGTGTGAGAGTGGTGTGGGTGTGAGAGAGAGAGGAGGTGTGTGTGGGGAGTGTGTGAGAGAGAGAGGTGTGTTGTGGTGAGAGGTGAGAGAGAGAGGTGTGTGTGTGAGAGGGGAGGTGAGAGGAGGGTGGTGTGTGGTGAGAGAGAGAGAGAGAGGTGGGTGGGTGTTGTGTGAGAGGAGAGGTGTGTGTGTGTGAGAGGAGAGGTGGTGTGTGAGAGAGAGTGGTGTGTGTGTGAGAGAGTGGTGTGTGAGAGTGGTGTGTGTGTGAGAGTGGTGTGTGTGTGAGAGTGGTGTGTGTGTGTATGTGTTTGTGGGAGAGACAGTGGTGTGTGTATTTGTGGGAGAGAGGGAGATGTGATTTGATTTGTGTTTGTTAAGTGAAGAGTAAAGGTTTCATGTAGTGTTATCCATTACTACCACAATGACATGCAGATCATTATGCACGTATATTCCACTAAGCCACTCCCCCCTCAGTGGTATCGCGATACTTGGCCTGGTATTGTAAGTAAAATGTTGGTTTCACAACAACACTATAAGGTACATGTGAAAATGTCTAGGCGGGTTAGCTTAAAGAGTACTGTACCTGTCTGGAGAAGCTGGGTGAGGATATCTGCTACCCTGACGATGTTCTCCCCGGCTGCAAAACGGGGGAGCTCTTTGATGGCCTGCCTCCGAATCTACAGGAGGAAGGAAGAAGAAGAACCAACAACCGGTGAGAAATGGAGTAGTGAGACTACTGTGACCAGGCATTAACTATACTCTTTTATATTGATCCATTTCTCAAATCGAACTTTTTGTATAGTGGTGTATTTTTGTATTGTGTGTAGTGGTATATGCATGTTGTATTTCGTCAATCCCATTCTGCACAATGGAATTTCCCAAATGGAAATGATAGTCCCACTGGGATAAAATCCTTACTGAAACATCTTCATCCTCACACAGGTCAAGTTGAGCGTTGATTGCCGCATCCGCCAGCTCTGGGAAACTGCTGAAGAATTTGGGAATGAACTGTGCAGCCAAGCGCTTTTCTTTGGGACCCCCCTTCACTCCATCAAGGATCACCTGATAGGCATCTTTGTGCTGGAGGATAGATACAAACAAATGGATACACAATCAAGTTTGTAATATAGGACATAACTGTCCAACATGAATGCAAAAGCTTCCGGTGAAGTGTCGGTCAAAATTATTGAGTAGAGACTAGAGATGAGAGTTCTGCCTAACAAGCATGCAATACTTGAATCCCTTGGCATTATACTAGCTATTTGTCAGCAGTAGTACCTACCTAGCTAACAACATTATAGTAAGAGAGCCTTTGAGTTATACGTTGTAAATCTAAACATCATAACAAGTTGCAAGTCATGCCATGGCACAATTACTTTTTTTCAGTAGCTGTGCAAGGCAATCAACAACTCATTTTAGACAGTTAGCTAGCTATCCGCTATCTAGCTAGTGGGACAACGGTCAGGTCAAATCAATTGGCTAGCATGAGGCTAGCTAGCGGTGTGTGTTCTGTTTTGACTTTGCTAGCTAGTTGGCTAGGCCAACTAAAATGTATTAAAAACGTCGTCAGGTAACTTAACTAACTAGTTACCTTGCTTGCTAGAAATGGAAATTAATAGCGCCTAGTTAACGTTATTTCCATGAGTTATCAGGCAAACTACGCTACAAACGCCGGGAAAATCAAGTGAAACAGGATTAGCTCGCTAGTTAGGCCCATTTTAGCTCGCTAACAAGCTAACGCTAGTTTAGCATGTATATGCGATGCTAACTAGGTAGTTAACCAATGGTTGTGGATCGGCATAACTTTAACCTCTGGCTTCCACTGCTGTAACTTATTTGAAGAAGAAAAAACGAGCTATTCTAGAAGATACTTCAATTACCTAACGAACTAGTTATTCATCTCACGCATACCTGGCTCAGGTCCTCCGGCTTGGCATCAGCAAGAATCCCATAGTTACGATACAGCTCCTCGATAGTGACCGCCATCAGCGTGCGTCCAACTGCGTATTGTTGTCGAGATGAGAATAGCAACAATATTACGCAGATATGAGTTGAAATTCTTCCCTTTTAGTCCAGAATTTCTCCAAACATAAACAATACTACGTGCTGACAGTACTGTGTATTGGCGATGGGGAGAGGAAATTTCTAGAAAGCTGTGAATGAAACCCCGCTGTCCGTTCATACAACCTACACTAGCCTTGCTACAAAAATTAGTATCAGGAAGGACATTAATGCGCATGCGCCTGCTTCAATAACGTACGTCAACGTTCTGAATGCGCGGACAGGATTCCTCATGTTCATCTTCATCATATTACCTAAAATACTGTAGTTTACATTGTCCGAGTGCCGAGTGAAGTAATCGATTTGATGGCAAACGCATATCCTATACATAAAGTAGGGGTAATGGACATTTAATTTACTAAAAAAATTTACGGATAGCCAGGGGCACTCCAACATAATTTACAAAGAAGCATTTGTGTTTAGTGAAGTGAGTCCGCCAGATCAGAGGCAGTAGTGATGACCGTGCATTCTCTTGATAAGTGCGTGAATTTCACAATTTTCCTGTCCTGCTAAGCATTCGAAATGATACACGAGTACTTCTGAGTGTCAGGGAAACTGTATGGGAGTAAAGACTACATATTGTCTTTAGGTTTGTAGTGGAGTTAAAGTTGTCATTGTCAAATCTAAATAGTAAAGTACAGAGACCCCAAAAAAAGTAGTACCTCAAAGTATTCTTACTTACTTTACACCACTGAAAATGATTTAATCCATGTTGTGTTTCAATGCACGAACCATAAATCCATGCCATGCAAAATCAATTGGAAGGCAAGTCAATACTATAGAAAAGCATAGTGTAACTTGAATAACTGTAGAGGATAACATCATTTATTAATGAGCATTATAATACAGACCACATTGACACATTTGTCTCATGATAAGGGCACTCATGGCTGATGTCTGCCTTTCTTAGGTTTCAACTCGAGGTGTTCACAGATCCACCTGTACCCGAATACCTGAGAGGGTTCGGATCCAGAATTCTAAATAAATGTCACAGGTCTGGGTCGGATCTGATATGATTGTCAAGGGTATGTGTAATCTTTACTGACTTGTCCTGAAGGACCCGTACACATCCACACGTGACTGCTGCAGTAGAGAGAGAAATTGTATAATTTATGCTTCTCCTCTTGCTTGTCACGAGAGTGGCACGTCTAGCTTGTTGTTGGCCAATCATAAGTCATCAAAGCAGCAATGGGCTACACCAGCATTTCCCAAACTCGGTCCTGGGGACCCCAAGGGGTGCACGTTTTGGTTTTTGCCCTAGCACTACACAGCTGATTCAAATAATCAACTCATCATTAAACTTTGATTATTTGAATCAGCTTGGTTGTAGTAGCCATTGCATTCCCAGCAGCCTTCGGTGTGCTGAAAGTGACCCCTATAGAGCACCTCCCACTTCCTAAAACCAATGAAACAAACTCCTGTGTTCCACAACTCAATGCAGCAGGACAACAGGAGGACATCACAGGAATCGGATTCCGGCTCCAAACTGGACCCCGTCGCATATCCTAAACAAACAAAGACCAAAGTGTCATTTCTTAACAGTAACCCAATACCCTTTTCACAACACTGAGCCAAAAATCCATCTGTACTGGGCTGGCCTGTTTACACAACCACCATAGTTGCTGAAACCATTATGAAAAGGACACTGGAAAATAAAAGTATGGTTCGGGTTGGCCCTATACAGTGAATCAGGCATACAAGTGTACTGCTCATCTATATGACCTATATAGTATTTATTGTTTCTGAGCTATGGACTATCACGTCATGGTTTGATAACAGGATGGGCAGATAGTAGGATACCTGTCTCCGCTCTGGACGCCCATGGGAATGCAGTAGTTGAGCTCCAGCCGGGCGATGTTTCCAAGCCGCAGCACGATTCCCGCTCCATAGGACCAGCGGATACACTCTGCCAGCTTCCTCAGGTGTGCTCGAGGCCCGTCACCTGGAGGAACGCAAACACCACAGCCTGAGGGGTCGTTCCACCTCAAAAAGCACAAGAAAGCGGATTTCGACACCCACCATGTCAGATTGTTCTGAAATCGTTTCTGTTAAAAACAGATAAGATTAGCATTCCTGTAACATTTTGTTGAAATATCATTTTCTCTACTTATTACTAAGTCATGCCACTCATTGTTATACAACTGTGATTGAGTCCTGCAGATTTTTCATACCGATGAATTTGAACATAGATTCAGCTTGTTAAGATGGTATTTCAGGTATCATCCCAGAACATCTGACACTTCCACATCATTGATTGCGAGGTGAATTACATCTTAAAACACCCACCATAGTTGAGGTTACACAGGTTCCCAGCATTGAGGAAGAAGTGGGTCCTGAAGAGGTCTCCAAAGCCCCCTTTGCCTGGACGGAAGGGCAGCGGAGTATACAGGTGGACGGCTCCAGCCCAATATGCCTCCCCTCCCAGGAAGTCACCTGTCATACCAACAATAAAACCACACGTGATGTGAGAACGTTACCCATCATAAGATCGGACTTCATTGAAACGGACAGTCCCACAGAGGATAACATCTCACCTTCACTCTGTGGGCCGATGCTGTACATACTAAATCCCCTGACGCTAGTAGGACCACCGAGGTAGAACCTAAAGAGACACATTGGTAGAAACCCTATTCAAAAACACACCATAGAAACAGACTTTCAGCTACATCACCATCATGCTGCTTTTGGGGAAAGAGGATCATTTTGTACATGTATTAAACTGCGAGTTTGGCCAATTCCAGTCCCCTTGTTTAGGGGGTCTGGGGTCCTACCTGGGATACTTTTTTATATAGAAGGACTGAGAAGCTAAATTCTGGTGACTTGAGGATATCCTACTCCAAAATCATAAAACTTAAATTTCCACCTCCAGAAATGAGCCCAAAAACATATTGGTAAAAATGACGTTTAAATGATTTTTACATATTGTACCATATAGCCTGTCCGTGCTCTATTATTAGATGTACTATTAACAATAATCATTATTACCTCTAGCCCACTGATGCAGCATAGTGGCTAGAAATACATACATTTACATTTTAGTCATTTAGCAGACGCTCTTATCCAGAGTGACTTACAGTTAGTGAGTGCATACATTATTTGTATTATATTTTTCATACTGGCCCCCCCTGGGAATCGAACCCACAACCCTGGCGTTGCAAACGCCATGCTCTACCAACTGAGCTACATCCCTGCCGGCCATTCCCTCCCTGGACGACGCTGGGCCAATTGTGCGCTGCCCCATGGGGTCTCCTGGTCGCGGCCGGCTACGACAGAGCCTGGATTCGAACCAGGACCACTGCGCCACTCGGGAGACATAGGCTGAAGAATGAGGTTTGCCCATGTGCATTTACCCCACTGGACACAACATCATGATTGTTGTTATTATTATTTTATTATAAATATATAAATAATGACTATTCACTTGAAAAATTTGATTTTTTTTGTTTCTATTGCAAAGTAAGTCATACGCCATTTTCCTCTTTGAGATTTGTTTCCAGCTGCTCCTAAACCGTGCTTGAAACTCCAGTTGTAACTGAATCTGTTAAACGATGCCACTTGAAGGAGTAACAAAATAAAAATGGAAGCAAACTGACGCCGCTCTGGTTTAACAAAGGATACTGCTTTCAAAAAGGTTTTCCCGCAATTGCATTAAGTATGGTTGTGCATTGACAGAATGCATGTTTCCCTCCCTATCGCAACTTGAATGCGCCTGGAGATTAATATTTTTCACATAGGACACACAACAACAAGCCGACTAGGTAAATTGGTAAACTATTCTACTATGGGGATGTCTGATTTTGTTTTAATAAAAAGCATGAGCTGGCACACACCCATAGAACATTATTTAGTGTAGAGGTGCGACTAATGGTGAATAAACTATAAGCTATTAAAATAAATAAGAGTCGCACACTACATATAAACTCCCAGTCATTTATTGGGTAAACTACCAACGTTTCAGCATCACTGTGACTTCTTTGTTTTAATAACATTACATGGCAAAAATAGTAGCACTGGAAAGTCCTGACCTGAGTGATGAAGTGGAGGCTTTTAATGACTTTGCCAGCAACTACAGTAGGATATAAGCTGTCTGGGTTGAGCCTGTTATAGACCGTTTCATTCCCTTCATCTGATCATCGGAATGTCATCAACAATCATGCATGTCAGTTCAGCGCACACAGCTTAACAAAGAAAATGCAATATTTGGGAATATATTTCGTAGAACACACATGCCATCTCCAAACCAGAGACTTTTATTGCGGATCTACACTGATCTCAAAAACGACCTCTCCAGAATCCATATGATGGAAATACATTGCAGTAATGGAGAACTTTAACCCCTGACTATACTGTATAAAGACAACATGGCGGGCCGGCTAGTGGGCCATGTTTGACACCCCTGCTTTTCAATGATGGTATTGTGAAACAGAGAGAAGTATTGTCTTACCTGTCAGCAATGCAAGTTGGCTTATCTCCAATGGGCAGGAGGCATCCGCCCCAGAGAGATGCAGACAGGACCTGGAAGATAGAGGACGAGGTCTCAACAAATGTGCTCTTTTATCCCACATTTATCCCAACCTGGTCAAAACCATTTGTCAACCCTCCATCAACAAGCTGTTTACATAGGCTCAGGCACTCCCTCTCTACCGTACCTGCTGTCTCGACCTCTCAATGCTCGGCTATGAAAAGCCTGAGGTACATTTACTCCTGAGTTGCTGACCTGTTGCCCCCTATACAACCACTGTGATTATTATTTGACCCTACTGGTCATCTATGAACGTTTGAACATCTTGAAGAACGATCTGGCCTTAATGGCCATGTCATTTTATAATCTCCACCCGGCACAATCAGAAGAGGACTGGCCACCCCTCAGAGCCTGGTTCCTCTAGGTTTCTTCCTAGGTTCCTGCCTTCTAGCCACCATGCTTCTACATCTGCATTGCTTGCTGTTTGGGGTTTTAGGCTGGGTTTCTGTATAAGCACTTTGTGACATCGGCTTTATAAATAAATGATATTGATTGATGGTTATAACTTGTGTTTACTATAAAAAGGTGGCCTAGCACCAGTTCAATACTCAGACTGAGTTCCAACTTGAGATCCATGCGTGTAACTAAAGTTTTCGCACAAATTTCTTCTTGATAAATATGACGATTTAGGTTCTCACCGAGTCCCAGAAGAGACGTTTGTTAAACTGGATCTCAAAGTCCTCTTTCAGAAAACTGGCATCTCCTCCCGTGTAGCCAGCCAACTCCTGCAAAACCACAACAATGCATCAGGTGAATGAATTGTTGGTTCAAAATGGTTTGGGAAATGGTTTCATTAGGGTAATACCATTGAATGCAACACTGGCCAGGTAATGTTATCCTAACCTACACACCTGGTTGATCTTCAGCAAGGCTCCCCTCCTGGGAAGGATTGCGGAGTTCCTGGTGTCGATGACCATGGCATGCTATAAGGGCCAAGGAGAAGAGAGCAACATGTTGAGGAAAAGTCCAAGTGTCTCAGTGGGCCGAATCCTAACTTGAGATCCACCTGCGCAAGTTTCTGCACAAATTTCCCATTGACGTCATCAATGCAAGATTTACACAAAAGCCCAAATGAAGTGTACAGATCTCAACATGTGGATTTGGGCCTACATGTATTATGTTTTAATCCCTGGTAATAAAGGGGGATTTTGTGGGGGATTGGCCTATGCCACTCTGATAATGACATTGCTCATCCATACATTTATATATTCTTATTCCATTCCTTTACTTAGATTTGTGTGTATTAGATATTTGTTGTGGAACTGTTAGATATTACTTGCTAGATATTGCTGCACTGTCGGAACTAGAAGCACAAGCATTTCGCTACACTCGCAATAACATCTGCTACCCATGTGTATGTGACCAATAAATTTGATTTGAAGTCCCGGTACCGAGAGTGATGACTTGAGGGAGTGGCCGCTCTCCTCCCGGACTGCGAACGAGGCGGTACGTGCTAGACAACCCAACTCTCGCCACACACCCTCCCACTTCAGGGTGTGGTTCGTCTTCCAGAGAGGGAACTGTTTGTATTCAAAACAGAGAGGGGAAAAAACCTAGAGAGGATCAACAACTTGCAAAAGCATTACACAGCAGGATGAAATTTAAGTCAAAAATAGCTGAGAAGTTCAATTCATCTTAGTTAGCATAACAACAATAAAAATAAGACAATCACTTTTGTTATTTCACATGACAACTCTACAGTAATGATAGATCGATAGATGAATGGAAAATTATCTTTACACTGAATTCTGTGGAGACGCCACGATCAGTCTCTCTCAGCGAGCTCCATGGAAACTGGCCTGTGACTTTGTAAAAGTTAACAGCGAAACTGCAACAGCGAGAGGAAGTCAATTAGAAAAAAAGAGCCCAGGGATCTATAGAATTAACAACTTAAAGGTGCTACACAGAATGTATCCCCTATGTGGAAGCTAGGTGAATTGCAACAGCACTAGGCTGCATTCAAAACAACCCATTTCCCCGTAACATGGCGGAGACTCGTGCTTGAGCCGCTTACTTTCGGTTTTGGTCCACCAGCTTCAAAAACAATATATTATTATTTTTGAAAATATATTTCACAGTGATTTACATGGTACAATGATTCCCTAAACTGAAATTGAGCTAACAGTGTAGAATTCTAGCAACCAGGAAATGACAGAGCGATTTCTACATTGGCCACTTGACACGATTTCCACAATGTAACACAGCCACAAAGTAAAAATAACTTTCCCTCAGATAATGCTCCGGCGGCAGAAATCAATAGGCGAATATCAAAGCTAAACACAACACTGGCGGGTAAGTAATACTGTGAAACGTTATCATTCTACTATTACTGCAGATACAGAAATTATTCAGACATTGACTTTTCCCACATTTTGTTACGTTACATCTTTATTCTAAAATGGATTAAATAGTTTTTTCCCCCTCATCAATCTACACACAATACCCCATAACGACAAAGCAAAAACAGGTTTTTAGAAATGTTTGCTAATTTATTAAAAATAAAAAACTGATATCACATTTACATAAGTATTCAGACCCTTTACTCAGTACCTTGTTGAAGGACCTTTGGCAGCGATTACAGAATCAAGTCTTCTTGGGTAAGACGCTACAAGCTTGGCACACCTGTATTTGGGGAGTTTCTCCCATTCTTCTCTGCAGATCCTCTCAAGCTCTGTCAGGTTGGATGGGGAGCGTTTCTACACAGCTATTTTCAGGTCTCTCCAGAGATGTTCGATCGGGTTCAAGTCCAGGCTCTGGCTGGGCCACTCAAGGACATTCAGAGACTTGTCCCGAAGCCACTCCTGCGTTGTCTTGGCTGTGTGCTTAGGATCGTTGTCCTGTTGGAAGGTGAACCTTCGCCCCAGTCTGAGGTCCTGAGCAGGTTTTCATCAAGGATCTCTCTGTACTTTGCTCTGTTCATCTTTCCCTCGATGCTGACTAGTCTCCCAGTCCCTGCCGCTGAAAAACATCCTCACAGCATGATGCTGCCACCACCATGCTTCACCGTAGGGATGGTGCCATGTTTCCTCCAGATGTGACGCTTGGCTTTCAGGCCAAAGAGTTCAATCTTGGTTTCATAAGACTAGAGAATATTTTAGGTGCCTTTTGGCAAACTTCAAGCAGGCTGTCATGTACCTTTTATTGAAGAGTGGCTTCCGTCTGGCCACTCTACCATAAAGGCCTGATTGCTGGAGAGATGGTTGTCCTTCTGGAAGGTTCTCCCATCTCCACAGAGGAACTCTGGAGCTCTGTCAGAGTGACCACCGGGTTCTTGGACACATCCCTGACCAAGGCCCTTCTCCCCCGATTGCTCAGTTTGGCCGGGCGGCCAGCTCTAGGAAGAGTCTTGGTGGTTCCAAACTTCTTCCATTTAAGAATGATGGAGGACACTGTGTTCTTGGGGACCTTCAATGCTGCAAAAATTTTTTGGTACCCTTCCCCAGATCTGTGCCCCGACACAATCCTGTCTTGGAGTTTTACGGCCAATTCCTTTGACCTCATGGATTGGTTTTTGCTCTGACTTGCACTGTCAACTGTGGGACCTTATATAAACAGGTGTGTGCCTTTCCAAATCATGTCCAATGAATTGAATTTACCACAGGTGGACTCCAATCAAGTTGTAGAAACATCTCAAGGATGATCAATGAAAACAGGATGCACCTGAGCTCAATTTCGAGTATCATAGCAAAGGGTCTGATTACTTATGTAAATAAGGTATTTCTGTTTTCGCTTTGTCATTATGGGGTATTGTGTGTAGATTGATGAGGGGGGAAACAATTTAATCCATTTTAGAATAAGGCTGTAACGTAATAAAATGTGGGAAAAGTCAAGGGGTCTGAATACTTTCCGAAGGCACTATATGTCTAAGCTCTGAGTGAACTCAAATAATCTATAAATGATTTACCCACATGTGAAACTGCTAAAAGTATACCTTATTTTAAAGTGACAGACCTATGAACATGTATAACTGAGTTACCAACATTTATAACTGCTGCGGATACCTTTAAAGAAAGCGGAAACCTTCTGGACATTTATTAATGAGTTGCAAACATTTATAAAAGCATTACATCTTCCCAAACATACAATACATAGTAAGAATGTAATTTAATAGAAGGATACATTGGGGGAAACAATTGTAATTGCAGTGACTCAAATCTGTAGCACTGTATATTATATTAAATTACAATGCAAAACAAAAATATGATAATCCTATGTGTAGCATCTTTAAATCGTAAATCTTTAATAAAATGTATTTATAATCTTTAAATCGTAAATCAGTGTATTTATAGCATTGCTCGTCATAGAAGTAGTAGGTTTTTATTGTCTCATACTTGCGTTCAAAGCGGCCAGGTTGAGGCTTGAAGAACGACAGCCCATAGGAAGTCTCTTTGGTGCCGTAGGAGAACTGGAACGTAAGCTTTTCTGCACGACCGAAAATATTGGGCAGCTTCAGACCAAGAACCTACAGTAGGAGGGATGCAAACTAGTCAAAACCTGACCACAGCGGCTGATGGTACCTCAATAGCGTGTGTAATCACCACCATAGATCTTTATAAATTGATCTGTCCTCGATTCCTAATTTCTTCTCTCCTCACTTTCTTCTCAAAACACATTGGTGCAAGCAGCAGTGTTTCCCAGACTCCGTCCTTGGGACCCCAAGGGGTGAAGGTCTTGTTTTTTGCCCAAGCACTACACAGCTGACTCAAATAATTAAAAGCTTGATGATTATCTGATAATTTGAATCAGCTGTGTAGTGCTAGGTTAAAAACCAAAACGTGTTTGGGAAACACTGGTCCAAGGGGCGGGACCTTGGACCTTCTCATCCAATACAGTTTAGAAGGAGATAAGGAGATGAGAAACGCAGTCAGATGATTTCAGATAGAGCCCATCACTCAGGGAGTTCTCACCATGCTACCTTCGTTATTTCCAACCATGGTGTTATAGCTGCCAGTCATGCGTCTCAGCTCAGTCACTTCAAACGTTACATCCAGTCCGTTAGGCAGAGCATCCACTCCTGAAAGGAAGTGGTTGTTTTGTTGGAGTGTTTTACCCACTTTTCCATTCACTTTATTATTTTCTAAAGTAATATGCAAAACTTTGGACAGATACTGTTCAGATTGAGAACGGATCACCTTTCTAACCACAGTACCTTGTGAGGTATCGATGACAACCTCCACTTGTCTGAAGATACCAAGACGTAGGAGCTTCTGTCTGGCTTCGTGGGCTTTTTTCATGACCTAAAACGAACAGTAAACAAAATAAGTTATACTTTTGCTACAGTCTCCACACAATCTCCATACACAGTGTTTTCCACTAGCTCCGGCCCTGTTGGCTATACAGCCAATTACAGACTCCTTTTCAGCCAGGTACTTTTTCTTCACTTAAATTAACTAGGCTACTTTTCAATTGCTAACTAGCGTTAGCAGATACCCATAGACTTCCAGTCTAGTTAGCAATTGCGCTAGTTAGCAACTTCATTCAAACTGCACGCAAAGACATAAAAATGGTATCCACGAGTTCATCTACAATGCATTTAAGAACTACAGTACACCATGTCCGGGCCAGTAGATTTTTGGCCAACCGGCCAGTGAGGAAAAAAGTTAACGTTGGACCCTGGCGTATTTCATATGTAGCAACAGAGTGGTGGCGAATAGGCTATTTACTGTGCTTTGATTGACGAACAGCAAGCTTTACTAGTTTAGAAAAGGTGTTGAACTGACTGAATAAAGTCGATCTCATATATTCTCGCCATTCACACATCATACAATGTAGTTATATGTCCATGGTATCGCATCGGGACAAGTCAACTAAAGATCTCGTTTGTATTTTTGATATGAAGTCAATCAGGACTTGCCCGACAGTGACGTTAAAGTGAGTGACTCGTCAGTAGCCTACCGAATCGCATCGGTAAGAGAGCTGTTCATTTGGCTTATTTGCATACTGGTAGGCTTTTTGGCAATTATCTGCAGATAAAATATGAAAACATTCGATGAAGACGGTGAATCCTCCTCACTGCAGGAACAACAGGTAGGCTAAGTGGAGAGAGCCTCACTCTGGTCCAAAATATGATTAAAGAAAACAGATTGAATAGTTTTAAAAACTAATGACTTATATGGTATTTTCAAAGATATTGATATAGGTCTATTGATTTAATCAAAGTGTTGACAATGAAGTAGTCAAGTGCTGCTTTCTGTGTAGCAACGCCCATGTTTAACACCTGCTTCATTATTCAATCATAACTGTATCACAGTGAGCTCAGAAAATGCCTCTTAAAAGGAAGCTTGAAGCCCATGGAAGTCAGCAGACTTCTTACAGGATTCTTTAAAGGCCCAGTGCAGTCAAAATAAAAATGTTCCTGTGTTTTATATAATATTGTACAACAGCTGATGAAACTAACACTGTAAAAGTGTGAAAAATGTAGATCAGTGTTATTTCCTGATCGTTACTGCTTGAAATTACAATCTAGCATTAGAATGAGACCACCAAAAAAGAGCTTGTTCTGCGAAAACATCTTAAACCCCCCCCAGGCCGAGGGAGTCTGGCTGGCTACTTTTTCTGTTTGGTTGGCTACTCCATGTGTTTGGTTGGCTACTCCATGTGCTTGGTTGGCTACTCCATGTGTTTGGTTGGCTACTCCATGTGCTTGTGGTGAACGCTGCATACAGTCTCCACACGTTACAATCAGTGGTCCGTAGCCTACTGTACTGATAGATTCACTCACGTCAATCAAGTTCCTTGCTCGGAAGACATCAGCAATCTCGTATGTTAAGCAATCCTCCTTGGTTCTTCCCAGACCATCTATGTGAACATGCTGGACTATGACCTATAGGACAAACATATGAAGGAGTTATAATCAGCATTGACAGGCAACAATAAAAGGTAACTTTGACATTCAACCACACAGAAATGATGATGGACTAAGAAACAACTCCAGCCGTACATCTTTGTTTTCAAGAACCTCTTGTTTTGACTCCTGCTCCATATCTGGTTGCTCGATGTCATCTGCATGAACCCCCAACTCGGGTCCCTGCATTGGCAGAGGGTCAAGACTCTGCAACACAGAGTTAGTGATGAATACAATGACTTACCAAGATATTTATTGTATTGTAAAGCTAGCTACCTGTAAAAAAAAACATGTTCCGGCCATCATTTCCGATGACCGAAAAGAGCTTCTGGACATCTGAACAGCGATCACTAACCTCGATTAGGATGAAGATTTCTACTTCAAAGAGTCGGAGGCGCAGGACATACTGCTCACCTCGGGCAGGGCCCTAATCCCTGACACTCGAAAGAGACTGCGATATAGAGGCAGACGTGCGGGTAACCTGATGAAACTACGGAGGAATGTAAATAATCCGCCTCTACCCTCTGTTCTATTGCATAATGTACAATCACTGGAGAACAAACTGGACGAGCTCCGTTCGAGACTATCCTATCAACGGGACCTGAAGAACTGTAATATCCTATGTTTCTCAGAAACTTGGCTGAAAAAGGACATGGATAATATTCTAGCTGGTTTTTCTATGCATTGGCAGGACAGAATGGCAGCGTCGGGTAAGCTCAACGGGGATAGTGTGTGTCTTTTTGTTAACAACAGCTGGTGCGCAATCTCTAATATTAAGGAAGTCTCAAGGTTCTGCTCGCCTGAGTTAGAATACCTAATTATAAACTGTAGACCAAGAGTTTTTATCCATATTTTACGTAGCTGTTTCTTTACCACCACAAATCGATGCTGGCACTAAGACCGCACTCAAGGTGCTGTATAGGGTCATAAGCAAAAAAGAAAATGCTCATCCAGAAACGGCAATCCTAATGGCCAGTGATTTTAATGCAGGAAAACTGAAATCTGTTTTACCTACACTGAACAAAAATATAAAGGCAACATATAAAGTGTTTCATGAACTGAAATAAAAGATCACAGAAATGTTCCATATGCACAAAAAGCTTATTTCTCTCAAATATTTCTGCACAAATTTCTTTACATCCCTGTTAGGGAGAATTTCTCCTTTGCCAAGATAATCCATCCACCTGACAGGTGTGGCATATCAAGAAGCTGATTAAACAGCATGACCATTACACAGGTGCACCTTGTGCTGGGGACAATAAAAGGCCACTAAAATGTGCAGTTGTCACACAACACAATGCCACAGATGTCTCAAGTTTTGAAGGAGTGTGCAATTGGCATGCTGACTGTAGGAATGTCCACCAGAGCTGTTGCCAGATAATTTAAATGTTCATTTTTCTACCATAAGCCGCCTCCAACGTCATTTTGAGAATTTGGCAGTACTTCCAACCGGCCAGACCACGTCTAACCACGCCAGCCCAGGAACTCCACATCCGGCCTCTTCACCTGTGGGATCGTCTGAGAAAAGCCACCCAGACAACTGTGTAAACTATGGGTTTGCACAACCGAAGAATTTCTGCAAAAACTGTCTGAAACCGTCTCAGGAAAGATAATCTGCAGGCTCATCGTCCTCACCAGGGTCTTGACCTGACTGCAGTTTGGCGTCATAACAGACTTCAGTGGGCAAATGCTCACCTTCGATGGCCACTGGCACGCTGGAGAAGTGTGCTCTTCACAGATGAATCCCAGTTTCAACTGTACCGGGCGAGCAGTTTGATGTCAATGTTGTGAACCTACCTTTTTTTAAGGCATCTGTGACCAACAGATGCATATCTGTATTCCCAGTCGTGAAATCCATAGATTAAGGCCTAATGAATTTATTTAAATTCACTGATTTCCTTTTGAACTGTAATTCTTGCATGTTGCGTTTATTTTTGTTAGTGTAATTTCTACCAGCATGTCACCAGGTGGAAAAAATAAACTCTAGATCACCTTTATTCCACACACAGAGACACATACAAAGCTCTCCATCACCCTCCATTTGGAAAATCTGAAAACTCAAAACAAGAAGTACCAGTGCTGCGCTCAATACGGAAGTGGTCCGATGAAGCGGATGGTAAGCTACAGGACTGTTTCGCTATCACAGACTGGAATATGTTCTGGGACTCATCCGATGGCATTGAGGAGTTTACCACATCAGTCACTGGCTTCATTAATAAGTGCATCGACGACGTCGTCCCCACAGTGACTGTACGTACATATCCCAACCAGAAGCCATGATGGATTACAGGCAACATATGCACTGAGCTAACGGCTAGAGCTGCCGCTTTCAAGGAGCGGGACTCTAACCTGGACGCTTGTAAGAAATCCCTCTACGCCCTCTGACGAACCACGAAACAGGCAAAGCGTCAATACAGGACTAAGATTGAATCCTACCACACCGGCTCTGATGCTTGTCGGATGTGGCAGGGCTTGCAAACTATCAAGGATTACAAAGAGAAACCCAGCTGCGAGCTTCCCAGTGAAGCGAGCCTATCAGACGAGCTAAATGCCTTCCGTACTGAGTCCCGTGTGGCTCAGTTGGTAGAGCATGGTGCTTGCAACGCCAGGGTTGTAGGTTCGATTCCCACGGGGGACAAGTACGAAAATGTATGCACTCATTACTGTAAGTCGCTCTGGATAATGACTAAAATGTAAATCTCGCTTCGAAGCAAGCAACACTGAACCATGCGTGAGAGCACCAGCTGTTGCGGACGATGTGAGTAAAACCTTTAAAACAGGTTAACATTCACAAGGCTGCAGGCCCAGACTGATTACCAGGAGGCATACTCTGAGCATGCGCTGACCAACTTGCAAGTGTCTTCACTGACATTTTCAACCTCTTCCTGACCCAGTCTGTGATACCTAGATGTTTCATGCAGACCACCATAGTCCCTGTGCCCAAGAACGCCAAGGTAACCTGTCTAAATGACTATCGCACAGTAGCCTGAAAGGCTGGTTATGGCTCATATCAACACCACCATCTCAGATACCCTAGACCTACTCCAATTCACATACCGTCCCAACAGATCCACAGATGAATCAATCACTATTGCACTCCACACTGTCCTTTTCCACTCTGACAAAAGGAACACCTATGTGAGAATGCTGTTAATTGACTACAGCTCAGTGTTCAACACCATAGTGCCCTCCAAGCTCATCACTAAGCTAAAGGACCCTGGGACTGAACACCTCCCTCTGCAACTGGATCCTGGACAGGGCTCGACATTAAGGCTTGCTCAGGCAAGTAAAAAAAATTTTTTGCCAGACAAGCAGAATATAGATTTCAGTTGTACAAATGGACAAGTAAAAAAATTAAAATCACACAAAGATTACAAAATCAAACAATTACTCGGATCAGAATTGGATCAGGAAGCACACAGCAGGGCAGTGCATGGTTGACATTCTGAGTAAATTGTCTATATTCATATTTGCTATAGTCTATTTAAAAATATATATTTACACAAAGCAAGAGAAATGTAGACAGCTAAGAGTCTCACCAAAGCAGCGCAAAATATCTGCTCAGAAAATGTAGTTTTATTCTCTCTCTCTCGAATGATCTGGGCCAATAGCCGAAGTCTATTTTCAAGTGTCTTATTGTTATAGAAGCCAAAATGCTTTGTTTTGTACGCTGGGGGCGATAACATAGCGCATGGCAGTGGTCACCAACCTTTTCTGAGTCTAAACGCAAGCCGAGATCTACCGCTTACATTTAAAATACGTAAGCCTATGCAACATTAACCAATTAAAAACAGTTCTGTAGCAATGAAGTTGATGCAGTAGGCTTTAGACCCAATACATTATACATAGGCCCAACACATTGGCTATACTTGAATTGCCAATGTTGTTCTTCTCAGACTATTTTGAAATTATATTTTAAAATGCAGATATATGATCATACTGGTAATAGATCATTTATTGTTTTACTTGTGAGGCACAGCTGATTGAGCAGAATAATTTGCTTTTTTTTTTTACTGGACTGATGGCCTGCATCTGATGGCCAGTCCGAGGGGAGGGAGGGCGCAGCGGTAAGGCTGCATCTCACCGTCTCTCCCCTCTCCCTCCCTCCCCTGAGAAAAGGGGACACAGTCTTCCAGCTGATGGCGAAAAACTTAAGTCGCACTGCATTATTTCTGCCTCATGCACCAATTCATGTTGTTACTCCTATGACCAGAGAAAGTTAAATATTCCTCGATATTAAAAAAGACAAGCCACTAATAATAAGGCAAGCTTATCGGAACACTTTGCTATACTCATTCATTGCAGCTGCAGTGCTGGTTGTAGTGTGAGTGGAAGTAGGGAGAACTTGCATTTTATGGCTTATAAAAGTGTTCAACAAAGTGTTTTACAGTGCTGAATAACAACTTAAACATGAACTTACTCATAAAAACACAATCTCTTTGCTGTATTTGTTGAGTCTCTCTCTAGTCATAGTTTAAAAAAAATTGAAATCTCACAGTTTCAACTTTGCTGTGCGTTCTAGGCTTCTTTTTACAGTCTATGGCTTGAGGAAATGACTCCCAGTGGCGCAGTGGTCTAAGGCACTGCATCGCAGTGCTAGCTGTGCCACTAGAGATCCTGGTTCGAGTCCAGGCTCTGTCGCAGCCGGCCACGACCGGGAGACCCATGGGCGGCGCACAATTGGTCCAGCGTCATCCAAGGTAGGGGAGGGTTTGGCCGGCAGGGATGTGGGTTCGTTTCCCACGGGGGGTCAGTATGAAAAAAACAAAAAAACATGTATGCATTCACTAACTGTAAGTCGCTCTGGATAAGAGCGTCTGCTAAATGACTAAAATGTAAATGTCAAATGTAGGAAACTGCAGACACCGTGACCCGCGTTATCCAACTGGCCAATGGTAGGCCTATAGGTGAACTTGATATGCTCTCTGGGCCTGCCGGGTAGGTGGAGTTCTACCTTCAGACACATGAAATTGTGAAAAATGGGAACACTGCCTTCCCGCGGCTAGGGCTGCTGAATCAAGTGCACCTACCGCCAACAGCGCAAATCTAATTTTAATAAATAGGAACGCAAGGCTTTATCTTTGGGTTTTTTACAGAAATGTTTGCTGATCCAGTAGGAATGCCTTCGAGATCGACCGACCGGTTGGTGACCACTGGTCTATGGGCAAGCGCATAGACTCCAGCCACCCAAGTTATAGACTGTTCTCTCTGCTATCGCACGGCAAGCGGTACCGATGCACCAAGTCTGGAACTTGAACAGCTTCTACCCCCAAGCCATAAGACTGCTAAATAGTTAGTTAAATAGTTAACCAAATAGCTACCCGAGTCCAGGACTATCTGCATTGACCCTTCTTTCACTAACTTCTTTGACTCATCACATAAGCTGCTAATACTGTTTACTAGCTGTCACTTTATTCCTAGTTATATCTACCTCAACTACCTCGTACCCCTGCACATCGACTCGGTACTGGTACCCCTTGTATATAGCCAAATTATCGTTACTAATTGTTTATCTATTTAAGCAATAAGGCCCAAGGGGGTGTGGTATATGGCCAATATACCACGGCTAAGGGCTGTTCTTAATCACAACTTGGAGTGCCTGGACACAGCCCTTAACTGGGGTATATTGGCCATATAACACACCCCCTCGGGCCTTATTGCTTAAATATACCACGGCTTTCAGCCAATCAGCATTCAGGGTTTGAACCACCCAGTTTATAATATTATGTATTTTACTTTATTATTTTTCTATTTTCTTCCTCTCTGTGTTGTTGGGAAGGCCCCTTAAGTAAGCGTTTCACTGTTAGTCCACACCTGTTGTTTACGAAGCATGTGAAGACTAAAATTAGATTAGGTTTTTTTGATTTGATGATGCACGCCCATGCATTAGCTCTCGAACTCTAGGCGGCATTCTGCCTTCTCCCTACCGTTCTCAGCCATTAGCTTTGCCCGCAACTGCCTCATGTGAACTACAATCCCGACACTGTGTTTTAGCGTTTAGGTCAATAATCATCGCTTGTGATATGGCCCTTATCTTTCATCAGCGAGAAAGAAGCCTTCAAATAAAAAATATATACTTACTAATACAACTATGGGTGCCTCCATCCAACGAACCTACACTTCCCGAGTTATGCTTACACACAGGTGTTGGAAGCACGCTAGATAGTTGCCTGGCAACCCGACGTTGAATTGCATTGAAATTTCCTCTCAATTAGGCAGATATTTCCTCTCAATTATATTTTAACGCACTTTACCGGTTGTCCGTGCGGTTGGTCCTTTTGGCGGTAGGAATGTGAGAAAATATATCCACAGGAAAGTAATTACATCAAGTTTTCAAAGCGCTGGTAGTGTGTTCAGAAGCATGCACACAAGATAAAAAAAATGCACGCACGAGATGCATGCATACTTGCCGAGCTCATGCACGCGTTTACATGGTTCTGCGCATGCTTCAGGTGATTGAAGGTCGCAGTTGTAAATGAGAACTTGTTCTCAACTGGCTTACCTGGTTAAATAAAGGTGATTTCATTTTTTTTTTTTGGAAATCTGATATTAACAAAACTACCCCATACAGAAGACGTCTTCGCCCAATGTAATGTATAGGAACTGAGAGTCATGATCAAGGGCTACCCCATGCATATGATCGCTACTTAAGATCAGGTGAATGTGTAGGGCGCACGTTGCACGAGCAACGTTCACCAATGCTGTTGTTGCAACTATGAAAACGTTAATTTCCTTCTCTTACTGACAAAGACAGTTCATGTATCTGGACTTTCCATAGTTGGCAAGCTGTCCAACTGGGCCCCTTTCGCTGTGCGTGACAGCTAGCTAGCTATACTAAGCTAGCTATTGGCTACTGTACTCAGAGGTCATACTTTCATCCTTTGCATTTTGAGCAGTTATCCTTACCCTCGCGTGGACGGTGCCCATGATTAAAGTCTTGAATGTATTGTCCTTCAAATGTTGGTGTTTATTTTACGAAATTAAGGGACATTTAATTCACAGTCGGCTCAAAAGAGATGTAGCTTCGTGGACGACGGAAGCCATGACACCACCAAAACCACGCCCCCTGATTCATCCCGGGTGTATTCAAGATGTCAACGTTTCACAATGTATTGCAGAACTAACATTTTTGACAACAGCTGGTTACTGTAAACAGAAAACAATAGTGTGCACATTAAAACCTATTGAAAGACAGTGAGATAAATATTTTAAAAACTGAAGCTTTGCTTAGTTATCATATATAATAACATGTACTTGGATTTTTGTAGGACTTTTCGAACAGGTGCATGCCCATTGATGTATTGTGGACAAGCAAAGACAACTTGCATTCAGGAATGTGACCATACTGGGTCCAGACAACATACGTCTGACTGTAGCACTAACCCAATTTCACCATTACTTTCAGTAATGAAGAGTTCATATAGCCATCATAGACATATCAATCAAAATACCACACACTCAGTGTGATGAGAAGAAATACAAAATATCATATTTTATTTTATTTTATTTTGTTTTGACATGTTGCTGAGCTTCTCTGTAAGCCCTCCTTCCTGTAAAAGAATGAGAAAAAACACAGTATCTCCCAATAACAAACATTTAATCCAATTAATAAATAATGGGCTTATGTTTGACTGAAAATAGATAGATTTTACGCCTCTCGCTTAAAGGTTTCCTGCGATATCTTGCCCTTGGCCACACCTTCAGGACACTCATTAAACTTCTCTATCCCCTGAGAGGTTAATAATGCGAAACAAAATCATGCATAGTATGTTGAGTGTTTCTTCAGGAGTGATTAAATGGTGTGAACATTGGGGTGACTAATTTCAGAAACCCAGAAGTAAAATCTTGCATAATTGCGTCAGATATGTTATGTGCGTCTGTCAACGAGAGATTATTTATAGACTTATATAGAGCTGAATCATCGGTATGCCCCCCAACTTTTGGATGAATCTCATTGTCCCCACTTCTTTTTGATGCACTTGTCTGATACAGTAGGTAGGTGTCCCACTGTCACACCCCCTCCAAATGGGTTCTGGGCCATTGCCTTGCAATTGATCAAATTGACAATTTCTGTGACTCCCCCTCCATGTACTAAACAAAAGTGATGTGCCCTTGTTTGGTAAGGTCCAAGATTCCAAAATCCATCCACGCTTGTGTAATTTAACAGCCTTGGGCAATCCAGTGACCGCATTTTGGACATTCTTCGCTGTTCAAGCTGTTTGATCAATAACTCTCTTGGTCTCTCTGTAATAGAAACAGCACAGAGGATGGGGAAAATGTGTATGTCGTGTCAATATTCCACAAAGGTTAGCCTGCCCTGCTAGGCTATGCCATACTCATATGCATGAACCCTTCTATTTTGCAAACTAGTAGATCCTGGGTGAAAAACAACACTGCAGTATACGAGTATGAAACACCAGAAGGTGATAGAAAAAACATTATTTGGGGGGTGAATTCATTGACTAATGTTGCCAAAGAGGATGCTAGTGATGAGTGTGTTTTGTTTTGAAGTCTCGCTCTTCTGCCGTAGTCAGTCAAGCAGTCCGGGCAATTAGTTAGCAGCAGCAGGCTGGCTTACATTTTTTTATTACTTAAATCACCAAAGATGGGAAGAAAATGTTAACAAATAATTAAAAATAAGTCTAACCTGGTCTGTAAAAGAAGAGCATGCTTGTTCAATTTTCCACGAGTTCTACAATTTTGTGTTTTCTAAGATAATCTGCAGCCTCTCGCTCTCTTGACATCAACATACCTGCCATGTCAAAATTATATTTAGCTAGCGGTCTAGGACATTTCTATCATCTGGGAGCTGATCTTCTTGTGCTCTAATCAGAATGACGATGATCAGAATCATCTGTGTTGATTTTTTATTAATAAATAATTAAACTCACATTTTGAAATATATTTTGTGAAAGATGCCCTTTCTCAGAATTCTTGTGTGTGGACCCGACTAAAAAGTATATTAAAAGCATAAACACAATAAAACATTTATTCACATCTGCCGATTTAAAAACCCACTGAACATTTACATACATACAGTTTCTGTCAAACTCATACTAGTCTGTGCTGTATCTACATCTGACATAATTCACAGAACATGTAGCAAGGTAGGAGGCCTGAGTGATCCATCAGAAGACATGGTCAAAACTGGAGATCACTTTGTTATGGCTCTCACATCAAGTACAGTAAAGGGGCGCCTACTCTGCAAAGTAGTCCTATATTCAACACCTCATAAGTTATCTGCATTTACACAGGCAGCCCAATTACTGGCAAAAGAGCTGATTAGCAATTAGTGGACAAATATCAGAATTCAGCTGCCTGTACAACACACATGCTCCAACCAGCCAACTTTGAATAGAATTGACTCAGGTACATTTACACCATCTGTCCATGTCATTACATACAGTGCATTTGGAAAGTATTCAGAGCCCTTGACTTTTTCCACATTTTGTTACGTTACAGCCTTATTCTAAAATTGATTCAATTGTTTCCCCCCCCCCCCCCTCATCAATCTACACACAATACCCCATAATGACAAAGCAAAAACTGGTTTTTAGAAATTTTAGCAAATGTATTAAAAATAAAAAAAACTGAAATATGACATTTACATAAGTATTCAGACCCTTTACTGAATACTTTCCGAATGCACTGGATGTCCATGACATTACATATGTGATACATACGCACATGCACATCCTATTTTCTCTTTGTTGGGCTTTAAGCATGTACAATATGTACACGGATTGCTCTGGAGTAAGATACTGTACAAAAAAACAGTCTGTTGAAAGGATCACCGTTTCTGTTCAGCCGTGGCAGCCTCTTCTCTGCCTTTAAATCCCAGCAGTTCTGTCCTCAACTCGCCAGGTTTGGGAGGGATTTCTGGAATTGTCTGGCAAAGGGAAATAAAATGTGTATGCATTACATTGGAGTATCAGCAACATTTCAAGCAATACATTTACATGTATGATCTTATCAACAAGTATGCAAAACAATGTGGACCTTTCATTTTTACGATAGATGTGGTCATATAATGAAAAAGCACATGGGGACGGATAGGTGGTTGTTCCCATGCTTACCAGATCGGGTCTGTAGTACTGATGGACAACCTCTGCTCCGCGAACATGGATAGTACACTGGCACCAAACATCCGCAGGTACCGAGGCCAAGACACACCCGCAGGCATCTTCACATCAGCCGAGAGGACCAATCAGTTACCTATACAGGAGAGAGACGGACAGTGATGTAGTCGTTAAACATTAGCATAAAAAATGGCAGATTTTGAATAGTTCGGCATGGGTGGACGGTGTGCTAACCCTATACCTTTACCCAACCTCTCCCTTATCTAACTAACCAGTCTTATATCCACAACATGCTAAGGGGTTGTACTAGTGTTGTAATGCTCACATTCATAACCTTCCACAATCACAGCCACTGGAAACACAGGTTGCATGTTAAACCCAGACTTTCTGACATTACACGGCACATCTTTAGGGATCCATTGTCATACTGATACACCGCTTCTATGTCTCCTACATTTCATATATATCAACCCTTAGCTATATCCCATATATACACAAAAGTATGTGGAGACAGGCTTCAAATTAGTGGATTCTGCGACTTCAGCCACACCCGTTGCTGACAGGTGTATGAAATCGAGCACACAGCTATGCAATCTCCATATACAAAGATTGTCAGTAGAATGGCCCATACTGAAGACCTCAGTGACTTTCAACGTGGCATAGTCATAGGATGCCACCTTTCCAACAAGTCAGTTCGTCAATATTCTGTCCTGCTAGAGCTGCCTCGATCAACTGTAAGTGCTGTTATTGTGAAGTGGAAACGTCTATGAGCAACAACGGCTCAGCTGTGAAGTGGTAGGCCACACAAGCTCACAGAACGGGACCGCCGACTGCTGAAGCGCTTAACGTGTCACGATCGTCAAAAGGAGCAGACCAAAGCGCAGCGTGTTGAGCGAACATCGTAGACTTTATTATTAAAGCAACCACGAAAAAACAACAAAAGACGATACGTGAAGTTCTCTATGACACCGACTGAACATAGCACAAGGAAACAAAAACCCACAAACACAAGGTGAAAACTGACAGTTTAAATATGGCTCCCAATCAGAGATAACGAGCCGACAGCTGACACTCGTTACCTCCGATTGGGAGTCATTGACTACAACACACAACCTAGAAATATAACCCATAGACCTGCAAACATAGAAACACACCCAACAGAACTACCAACATAGAAAAACACCCAAATCCCCAACAAAACAACATACACTCTAGCTCACATAAACAAGTCCTAGAGCCAGAGTGTCACAGTACCCCCCCCTAAAGGTGCGAACTCCGGGCGCACCAACCCACAGTCTAGGGGAGGGTCTGGGTGGGCGTCTGTCCACGGTGGCGGTTCTGCCCCTGGTCGTGGTCCCCACCCCACCTTAGTCACCAGCCTCCCTAGCCTCCTCCCCATTACCACCCCCCAACTAAACCCCACTGGGTTAAGGGGCGGCACCGGACTAAGGGGCAGCACCGGACTACGGGGCAGTACCGGACTAAGGGGCAGTACCGGACTAAGGGGCAGTACCGGACTAAGGGGCAGTACCAGGCTAAGGGGCAGCACCGGACTAAGGGGCAGCACCAGGATAAGGGACAGCACCAGGATAAGGGACAGCACCAGGATACGGAGCAACACCGAGCTAAGGGGCAGCACCGGACTAAATGGCGGATCCTGGCTGGCTGGCTCTGGCGGATCCTGGCTGGCTGGCGGATTCTGGCTGGACGGCTCTGGCGGATCCCGGCTGGACGGCTCTGGCGGATCCCGGCTGGACGGCTCTGGCGGATCCCGGCTGGACGGCTCTGGCGGGTCCCGGCTGGACGGCTCTGGCGGATCCCGGTTGGACGGCTCTGGCGGATCCTGGCTGGACGGCTCTGGCGGATCCCGGCTGGACGGCTCTGGCGGATCCTGTCTGGCGGAAGGCTCTGGCTGCTCCTGTCTGGCGGAAGGCTCTGGCTGATCCGGTCTGACGGAAGGCTCTGGCTGCTCCTGTCTGGCGGAAGGCACTGGCTGATCCTGTCTGGCGGAAGGCTCTGGCTGATCCTGTCTGGCGGAAGGCTCTGGCTGATCCTGTCTGGCGGAAGGCTCTGGCTGATCCTGTCTGGCGGAAGGCTCTGGCTGATCCTGTCTGGCGGAAGGCTCTGGCTGATCCTGTCTGGCGGAGAGCTCTAGCGGCTCCGGTCTGGCGGACGGCTCTGAAGGCTCATGGCAGACGGGCGGCTTTGCAGGCTCAGTACAGACGGGCAGTTCAGACGGCGTTGGGCAGACGGACAGTTCAGACGGCGTTGGGCAGACGGGCAGTTCAGACGGCGTTGGGCAGACGGGCAGTTCAGGCGCCGTTGGGTAGACGGGCAGTTCAGGTGCCGTTGGGCAGACGGGCAGTACAGGCGCCGTTGGGCAGATGGCAGACTCTGGCCATCTGAGGCGCACCATAGGCCTGATGCGTGGTACCGGAACTGGAGGTCCCGGGCTGAGGACACGCATCTCAGGGCTAGTGCGGGGAGAAGCAACAGGACGCACAGGACTCTGGGGACACACAGGAGGCTTAGTACGTGGCGCAGGGACAGGCCGGGCTGGGCTGACGACGCACACCGTAGGCTTCCTACGTGGCACAGGAACAGGCCGGGCTGGGCTGGCGACGCACACCGTAGGCATCCTACGTGGCGCAGGGACAGGCCGGGCTGGGCTGGCGACGCACACCGTAGGCTTAGTGCGAGGGGCCGGAACAGGCCGGGCTGGGCTGGCGACGCGCACCGTACACTTGGTGCGGGAGGCAGGATCAGGTCGAACCGGGCTGGCGACGCGCACCGTACACTTAGTGCGAGGGACCGGAACAGGCCGTACCGTACGGGGAACACACACTACTGGCTGCACCTCGGGACTAGGAACGGGCCGGACCGAACTGGTTACACACCCCAGTACCTCACGCCGTGCCTCAACACTTTCCTTCCCTGCTTTACCCAGTAGCCCCCTTGACCTGGTAGCCCACTGAATCCGTCCCTTCTCTGCCTCCGTCAGCCCCCTTAACCTGGCAGCCTCCTGCTGCTCAGTCGCCCAAGCCATGTGCCCCCCCCCAAAAATTTCTTGGGGTTGCCTCTCGTCCTTCCGACGTTGGCTCTGCCGACGCCGTTGCTCCTCTCTCCGTCGCCTCTCCTCTGTCTCGCTCCATGGACGGCGATCCATGCCATCCAGGATTTCTTCCCACGTCCAGGACCCTTTACCGTCCAAAAGCTCTTCCCATGTCCAGACCCTCGGCTCCTGGACACGCTGCTTGGTCCTTTGATGGTGGGTTTTTCTGTCACGATCGTCAAAAGGAGCAGACCAAAGCGCAGCGTGTTGAGCGAACATCGTAGACTTTATTATTAAAGCAACCACGAAAAAACAACAAAAGACGATACGTGAAGTTCTCTATGACACCGACTGAACATAGCACAAGGAAACAAAAACCCACAAACACAAGGTGAAAACTGACAGTTTAAATATGGCTCCCAATCAGAGATAACGAGCCGACAGCTGACACTCGTTACCTCCGATTGGGAGTCATTGACTACAACACACAACCTAGAAATATAACCCATAGACCTGCAAACATAGAAACACACCCAACAGAACTACAACATAGAAAAACACCCAAATTCCCAACAAAACAACATACACTCTAGCTCACATAAACAAGTCCTAGAGCCAGAGTGTCACA